AAATCATTCTTTAACCCTAGGCGAAAATACGTGGCTATCATCGTGTTTCAGATTACACCAGTTATCATTAAACAACATTGAAAAGAGCTGACTTCAAGCTTGGTCACAGACACAGCTGGAGATGAGAGTGGCAAATGGGAATAACGGTAACGACGCGAATTACTCTTCTGAACCAGGAGCCACGTCAAGCACGGGCCATTTCCTATTGTTCAACGGCCAAAACACAAAGGATGTTTGCCCAAATGAGCAAGTAATCAATGAAACGTCAGTTGCTGAACCGATCGTTAACAACTGTTGCAGCACTATTAATCAATGTTAAATGATTTTTTTATTTTTAGATAATAATAAATATTGTTCGGAGTAAAATTTTGAAGTGCATTCAGTACTTTAGTGCTTCGAGTAGATTAGCGAGTTCAGCGAGAAATACGACCTGACTTGTGAAGTTTTTGCAAAAAAAATTATAAAGAAAACGAGAGCGGAAACTAAGTGTGAGCATTTTTGGAAGAACGGGAGTGACAATGTTATAACTTGCTTAGTTGGATACTTGAATGGCACGTATTCACTGGTCGTGCGGGCTCCAGCATAATTTCTATTAGACGGGACATTTGCTGGTTTCGTCATTCTGTTTCTCAGGATTCCCAAGGTCAGCCTAGCGGAAGCCTTGTTCGCGTCGTCAGCACCCCAGACAGCCGCAGGCCTTGTGGATCAGAGATTTGCCACCATGGGACTAGTTTCAGACCAGGACGGTGGTGAATTCTGGTATTGGTTTACTTTTAGCTAGGCTTCCGGATGGAAACGTTAGACACTCCCTCACCATGGGAAATCCTACTGGGGATTAAACTCTCCGCTGTGCATCGCAGCAGGACACCGAGGAGCACCTCCCAGCCAAGATGATGCAGTAAACCGTTGCATATGAACAAGATATAAATGTGTTGGAAATGCATTGATTGAGACATATGGCTTTTATAAAGCAAAAAAACTACGGTGTATTAAATAACTCTCTTAAATCAATCTGTGAGATTCGCAGAGTTCATCGCTTTCTTGAAAGTTTCTGGAATTTCTAGGACACTCGAGTTTTCATTCACAGTTAACTTTTAGCGATTGTTGACACTGGTGTCCGCCCCAGTGTTGGCATTCAGGTCCTCAATATTTCACGAAGGTGACATTCACTCAAGACAGGAGTGCAGTTTGCAGTCACTTCGTTAGTGGAAAAGAAATGGGAAAAATTCTTAGATAATATAGGCTTATTGCACGCAGGGGTATATAGGTATTGGATGACTTTATGTTTTAAGAAAATATACTGGTTTTGATAAGGGTTACCAGATTTTGGTGTTCACCACCACTTTTTTTCGTTATGTTATTCTTTTCTGCCATTATTAACATATATTACCATTGTAGCTACATGCGTGTGTAGCGCAGTGACTAGAGAGGCCCTGCAGCACACATAGATTCGATCTTGCGTCCCATGGGGAACCGAGGTTTCCACTCCTACGGAATAACAAAATTACTACCAGACCTGTCTGAGATCATAGCAGCACTGACTCGATACATCGGTAGGCCACCACAAGTCAATGTGGAGGGCAGATTTGAAAAACTCTGAACATCTGGTTAAAAACAATCGAGTGTATGCAAAAAGGTTCTCAAGCTTTGGTACCACCAAAGAAAGCTGATCTGCAACAGGGAGCATGAAAGGAGTGGTAGATGACGTTAGCGCTAAAGGCACCATTATTATTTGACAGTTCATTACTTTATATCATTCAGATTGTAGAGTGGTCGTCTTCAGATATTTATCTTTACTGAAAATTTTTTGCTACAAAAAAATCCACTGTCTAGACAGAGAGTGCTCTGAGAACAAATGCTTTCCCTTGTAGAGCACTCTCTGTGTAGACGTGATTCCTATCTATCAGAGGTGTGCTCGAACCAACTATCCTGTATAGTAGATGATTTTTAGTTACACTGCTGATTTCTGGCTTTTTTTGGTAAAGTTTACTTACAAGTCAAAACACTTCCTTGCCTACGACTGTGGCTGCAATCATACCAAGGACGGTAAATAGGCAAATCGGAAGACTTTCATGTACGACAAATGTTGGATTATAGGTGCTAGGCGACCAGACAAATGGTAGAAGTGCTGGGAGCTACAGAGTATGCAATGATTAGTTATGCAACTAAATAAATAAATAAGTGAAAAAATAACTAAATAAGCAAATAAATCGGAAATCGGCCCGTTGCACTATCTTTGAGTGGTGTGTGGTAGAATTGTAGGATTCGCAGCCATTACAGGAATAACTCTCGTCCTAGAAGAATTCAGGTCAGAAAACAACATTTCCCTACAGTTCAAAAACGCTATCTCTTGTTTGTGGTAACAGCATCTGGTTACCTCTGATGCACAAGAGGAAAATAGCGCTCGGTCAGCAATGGAAATGCCATTGAGTACAGAAGACGGTAGTTCTTCAGGTCGGAGTCGATTCCATGTACGACCTTGATTACATGTATGGTCGACTATTACGAGGGAACGAAACGAATAGACGAAGTGTGGCCTCGCACAACATGTGAAGACGGGTCACCTAAGCATATGATCAAGTAAATAATAAAGGATTAAGCTCTTGGCATTGATCAATCCCTGAGGGTTGGGCCACGTATTCGACTTCGTTAGGCATCGTTGGTCACCCCTAACGATGGTCAAGTAAATAGATGTTGACTTTATATTTTAGAAAATCGTCATCCTTCCTATGAATAGACAGCGTGGTAAGCGAATGTTTAAAAAACCCATGAGTGTTGTTGCAAACTGGTCGTGTTAAAAATAGCACGCAAGGTGCCGTTCGTCAGTTGTTAGGAGAGCTGTCATGAACGCTGATGAAGACATTGCCAGCATCCTGTTGCCGTTTCATTTCATATGGCACGTGCTTTTTGTCTTCGGCAACAAATTGCCGATTCATTGCACCTTCTCGTTAGCTCTTATTCATATATGTAGGATTCATAGTTGAATATTGAACACCCAAAAATGTCACTTTTACAAAGCGGTGGTAGGCTTTCGCTTAGATCGTATTCCTAAGGCTCGAGTCTGCCAATGAACAAAGTTAAACATCTTTAATGAAAACGATAAGAGCGCCGATGATTTCATTGGTAGTTGATAAGCCGGTGCATTCAGATTGTGGAAGGCTGGAATATGGTTTATGCTATCCGTTACATTTTGTTCGTGTTTCTTTTGTTGGGCGGTCAGCATCCCACTGTGTTGATTTCGATGAGTTCATTGTAAGAGTGAGTTTATGATCACTTAAATGCGTTAGCAATAAAGATTTCCTGAAAATTTGAGCCTTCACCCATGAAGCTGAATACCCTTGCTGATGTTATTATATGTTCACCGATTCTTAGTACCAGAACTTTGACCGCTACTTTCTGATCTCTCATGTAGGAGCAATTTTCTTATGGATACATTGAAATCCTTAGAATCTTTAGCATGAGCAATCTTGTCCTATAGACGAACCTCTCGATTTGTCTGACTTGCTAAAAGCATGCAGTAACACTACACACCCGTCCAGACCACTAGAAAATCGATAAACATAGTAGAAAAAAGAAGTGATGGAGTGAAGTGTTTTGAAATTTTTAAACATGAATGCTTGACAGAACGTTTTAGATGGAAATCGGGAACTCACTGAGCCATGAGCATGAGCCTACTAGTGTTCTATTTGTTGGTTACATGGGCTTACTACTCGCATGTCTCCTATTTGGCATAATGTTTACGCCGCTAAGACGAAAGGAAACCGAAGATGGTTTGTTTCTTCCAGACCAGAAGATCTTCAGGCAAAAAAAAGTAATAAAGACTTTGCAACAAAACGCGAACAAACTTCCACGACAAAAAACCATTCAGCAGCAATGCTTAACAACATACCACATTGTGAACATCTACTATGACAGAAGAATAACTCGAATATTCTCCATACAAAGAAATACTCAAAAACAGCAATTTTAATCTTGTTGTGGATATAATGACAAAGCTCGTAACTCACTGGTTCGAGGTGCCCTGCAGGGTACGCAGAGTCTTTGGTTCGATTTCGCAGCACCGGGCAAATTAAGCACTCAATTTCTACGGCGTTAGAAAATCGGTGCCAAATTAGCCTGGGATGATAACAACATTGACTCTATTCCGTTGTAAAGCATTTTATAGGCTAAATATGCATCCAACAAACTCTACTGCTTTTGATGAAATCGAATTCACACGGTGTTGACCAATGGCAGCGGATTCATCCTTTAAGTGAGTAATAGACTAGTGTCGTCTTCACGAAGTTCATCACAACAAATAACGAACAATGGTGCATTTTAAGCACTAAACAATGACTATTAGATAGCTTTAGAGCATGAGGGGTTGGAAACACCATGGTGTCATAGAAGAGCCTTGCTTTATCGATCTAGACATGTTTGTGTCACGCTGGTTGTTCGGAAATTAATGTCGGAATTCAAATGTATCCTCAGACAGGCGAAACGAGACGTATAAGAATCTAAACACATTTTCCAAAAAGGGAAGAGTTTATTTACTCCGGTTGCTTGGAACTCTACACTTCTGGAGGCCATGAATCCGTTGAACGTAGCTTCGGCATTGGTTTCATTTCTGAAGCTTTTCCCGTACAGGAAGCTATTCAGATGCTTGAAAAGTGGTGGTAGGAGAGGTCTGGGTAGTACGGTAAATAAGGCAGAGTTTCGTAGCTCTTTTTATTCAACCTCTGCAGCTTCGGTAGTGCACTGTTTGTTCGCGCATTATTGTGGTGAAGGATTGGTCCCTTTCTGTTGACCAATAAAGGTAAATGAGCAGCCTTTGAAGTTGCAAGTGCATTTAATGGATTTACTGGAAACACTACTCCGCCGTAATTGGTTCATCTGGGTTGAGGAAGCTGTGATTGATCAAACCAACTGTACGCCGAACGGTCAACACGGTCTTATTTTGGTGCAGTTTTCTCTTCGGGAAGTTGTACGCTCCTTCACCACAGCGCAATCGTTAGACTTTATCATAGCAGGTTGTCGTAGAGGATCAATTTCTTGCTGCATGCCACAGCACGGTTGAGAATCGGGTCGTTCTGGCTGCCCAGAAGAAACGCCGAAGATGCCTCAAGATTTTGTTCACTGTTATTCAATCCGCTCGACATCCACTTGTTGAGCTTCTTACACTTCTTAATCATTTCAGATGCTCTGAAACAGTTGAGATGCTTACACTATTCTTCTACAATTTCTTGAACAGTTATGCGTATTGCGAAACTTAAGACCCACTTTTCTGTAACCTCGACACCGATCAATAACATTATTTTTTAAAGAGTAAAGGCAAGGTTTTTATTATAGCTTTTATCCATCTACAATAGCTGGCTTTTCGACAGTTTCGCCTTCCTCAGAGCCTCGAAAGGTCAAATTGACATGTGATCTACTCATCTAAAGCCTTTCATAACTCTAACAGATAAGACTTAACGCATAAATTTGCATTCGCATAAGAAACAATTTCATTTAAGGACCCACCGTTTATTCGTTGTAAGTATTCCAATTAGTTGGTGGAGAGCAGCCGCACAAAACCTTATAAAGGTCAGAAATGTGCCTAGCTCAGGTCACAAAACCAGCTTGAGGTATCGCGCTAGGCTACTTGTGACCGCAAGGCACTTCTTCTGGCGTTTCATTTTTTGCCTTTCTAGAAATGATCCAAAACGCCTAAAAAGTTTTACGCGCTGATATTTTAGATTTTTCTGAGAGGATAGTGACTTTTCAAAATTTCCTCGTTACGTCTCTGTCTTATGCTCACCTAGTTAAGGGTTTGGGTCATTTTTAAATTTACCACTAGGTATTCTTTCAAACGGACTTTATAAGAGATTGGGTACACCGTATGCCACCTCATGCAATTACCGTCTTTACCTTTAGAACATACTATGCAATTTCGCGTTGTGTATAGACTGTCATACAGGTGGTTACGAACAAGCTGGTGTCTGAGAGTGCTCGCTGGTATTTCATTCACTACTAACAGCCTTTTTAGAACAACGTTCCATACAAGCACTTATTTCGTTGGGATTAAAGTGCAGGGTAAAAGCGACCTTTCTAGAGTTATCGCTTCGGAGCGCGGTTTTTCAGCAACACCTATCCCGAGGAGCTGCAGTTTCGTACCAAATAGAAATGGCTATTTGTCGGACCAATTTCAGGGTTTCTTCCTTCAGCTCTCTTCCTGTGCACACAGTGGTGACTGTTCAAAATGTGTTTCTCACCAGCGTCCTTTTTGTGTATGAGGGTTGAGAGGGGAGGTGTAGTGAGCCAGGACGTTTTTTGTTACTTGGTTTCCGTACCACTTGGTGATGTAGCCGTTTTCGTATAAGTTAATTTGACGCTCAGAAATGGAAGATAGTTGTTATCTCGGTTTCTTCTTTGTGAATTCTATGTACTCTGAATGTCCGTTCAATAACTGAAGACATTTGTTCATGTACTCTTTCTTGTGTGGAGCAGGTGACAAAACAATCATCTACACATTTACGGTGGTGTAAATTACTGAAATCGATTGCCGGTTCTTCGACTTTAGACATAATGGTCATGGCAAGGCTTGGTGCCAGTCGCTGTCCCACATTGCCAACACTGTAATTTGTGCGGAGTATTACCGGGTCATCTAAAGATTGAGCAGTTAAAGCAATCCTTTAAGAGGACTATGAATTGCTGGATCGAGAAAGCACACATCTTTATTACTCCATCGAGCATAAGAAACTCGCGGATGGCCTGCATAATGGTGTGTTAAAGAAGTACCTGAACTGCTCAGTGTTTAGATGGTCCGGGAAGTACTTCGCTGAGTGAGAGCTTTGAGACAGCGACAGGCACCTAGCATTGCCATTGCCTCCATGTCTCAGGTGAATGTAACAGCAGTCGATAGTCCGGCTATTATTCTACTGCAGATGAATAGATGATTGTTTTCCCACTTGCTCCATAGAAGAGTTAATGGACAATTGTTTTCAGCAATTGAATGGACAGTGTGAGCGCATTAAATTTAACCGAGAAAATACGAAAGAAAACTGGCTTCCACTTTTGAACGCTCAAATTAACCTACCAAAGGGCTCTTGTAAAAAACATGTTTAGAGTGGCCACCAGTTTGTGAACAGGAAAAGGGCAGAAGGAAGAATTCATGAAATGGGCGCAAAAAATGGCCATTTATATTGGCTATGAGCGCCCTGCAACAGACGTGTGTTTGATCACGCGCTCAGTCTCACCAAGCCTTTCATCCCTTGGAGTGGGCGATTTCATTCCAGACCTGTCTGAGAAGATAGCGGCGCTGAATGAGTACATCGGTGGGTGCACCATGACTCAATCTATAGAGATACACATTCAATCAGCTCTAATGATGCTGAATGGTGTCGAATGTGCGGCGCATTCCCTGAGAGCTTATATTCTATTGTGCTTACAAAGAAATCCAAGACATCTGTGCATAAAACTCTAGAATCGTTTTCGATGAACTCTAACGACTTAACAATAGAACACCAAAAGAACTTCCCCATTATGCATGATCTCACATAATATCTCAATATCTTAATGTGAGAGAGACATCTACCCATTGATTTCAACTCTGTACGATAGTTCATCACTCACCCAGTGAGAGACATATAGAAAGCGGTGGGTGTGCGAAAGAACTATTTTGTTTTCAATTTGGCAAAAATTTGGGTCTCGTAATTTTTCTATTGAGCTTACTGAGAAATTTTTCTGACTACATTGCAGTCAATCTGATATTTCTATGCTCTGAAATAGTTAGGGGCGCTTGTGGCGCAGTGGTCGGAGGCGACCTGCGCAACACACACGTGGAATCGATCCTCGCTTCCATGGCCCACTAAGTCTTGCATCTCGCCGCAGTCGGCCGATGCACAGGTAGGCCATCGCGGCCCACTGTAAAAGTCAGATATGCATTCAATCATTTCCAATTGATGCTTAATGACTCCCACGACCGACTTTCTATTAACCTCGGCATTGATCAAGTAATTCTTCGTATTTTTGTTGAGCAAACGCGAGGTGTTATTATTCTTTATTCACAAATGAGCTGACGTTTCTGCGGATTTTGCCTTCCTCAGAGCCTGGGAAGGTCAAGTTGACAGCAATCTACTTGGCCAGACGCCTCCATAACCAAACAAAGAAACTCTAAACCAAGATTTCAATCACATTGAACACAGCTTTGCACACTCACCGCTTTCTATGAGGTCTCCACTAAGTATGTCACGTAGAGACCAACCGCACAGAAATCACGTGGAAGTATAATGTGCCCCTCACATCAGAAAAGCAGTTTTATATACTGCCCTATATCGCACGTGATAATGAGGCATGCTTCCCTGGGATTCATTTTCGGATTTCTGGAGTTAATCCAGAGTACCTCGAGAGTTTTTCGCGCCTGTGTTCTTGATTCGCGTGCGAGGATCGTGACACATACTTCGAAGTCGTCCCCGCTATGTCTCTGGGTCCTATGCGTGCCTAGCGGGGTATTTGGTCTATTTTTGCCGGCTAGGTGTTCTTTCATGCGGACACAGAGGGGTCTACCCGTTTCGCCAATGTATTCGTCACCACACGTCTTACAGGAGATCAGATAAACTATAGCCGAGCTCATGCAATCACCGTCTCTACCACTGGGGCAAATTATGCAATTTTGAGTTGCACATAGACGGTCATATAGGCGGTTACGAACTAGCTGGCACTTAAGATTACTCGGTGGTATTTCAACTACGCTCACCGAATTCTCTAATCCCGCCCTTCTTAAGCAGCGTTTTATAGCTGTACTTATATCATTCGAGATGAAGGGTAGGATAAACGGGACCCTTCTACCGCTAGAGTTGTCGTTTGGAGGCCTACGATTTCCTCTACACCTATTCTGAGCTACAGTTTCGTAGCCATTAGAAACGGCTATTTGCCGTGCCAAGTTCCGGGACTCCTCTCTCTGCTCTCTTCCCGTGCACACGTTGGTTGCTGTTCGAAACATGTTTCTTATAAGCGCCCTTTTCGTGTGAGAGGGGTGAGAGGAGAGNAGATATTTTTACTACTTGGCTTTCGGTACCACTTTGTAATGTAGCCATTTTCTGATAGGTGAATTTATACGTTCAAAAATGGAAGCCATTTTTCTTTCGGCTTTTCTCGGGTGAACTTGATATACTCTGACTGTGCGTTTAACAATTCGAAGCATTTGTCCATTTCCTCTTGCGTTGAGCAAAGGACAAAGCAGTCGTCTACATACCTACAGTAGAGTAGCGGCTCGAGATCAGTCACCGGTGCTTCCACCTTAGACATAAATGCAATGGCAAGGCTTGGAGCCAGTCGTTGTCCCATTGCCAACCCTCTTATTTGAGCGTAGTACTTTCCAGACCATCTGAAGATTGAGCAGCTTAAGCATTCCTTTAATAGTGCCATCAGGTGCTCTATCCTGAAGCCATACATGTTTATTTCTCCTTCGTGTTGTGTAAGGAGTTCGAATATGGCTTGCATTGCGGAGTCATTCGACACGTTTGTATAAAGGGCGGTAACGTCGAAGGACTCCATCACGCACGCGCTGTTGGGCTGCGCAGTACGTAGACGATCCAGAAACATTTGGGTATTCGTAAGATGGGCTGGAATGTGTTTTAACAACTGGTTAAATATTAGGGTTAAAAACCATGTTATCCTGTCCGTTGGCCCGTCTCTACGTGACATACTTAGTGGTAGCCTCATAGAAAGCGGTGAGTGTGCAAAGCTGTGTTCAAAGTGATTGAAATCTTGGTTTGGAGTTTCTTTGTTTGGATATGGAGGCGTCTGGCCGAGTGAGTTGCTATCAACTTGACCTCTCCAGGCTCTGAAGAAGGCGAAATCCGCCGAAACGTCAGCTTAATCGTGAACAAAGAATAGTTCAACATCACGATAGCGCTATGAAAAATGAGAGCTCGAAAGTCACCAAGAGACGTCTGTTCCCAGAAACAGTCAAGCTGACACGCCAGCGTGGAATCGTGGCCCGCTGCAAGCAACCGCAAACTAACGTCCGAACCTGCAAAACAATGCAAACAGGCCATTAAAGATCTTAAAGAGAGAAGAGCAGCAGTAATGGTCAAAGGCTGGGAAAAGCATTCGCAAAGCCCACCGAAGCTTCGCCAATTACAAGACCAAGATGATTGAACTCCGACACCCAGACGGAACAGTTACAGCGTCCTGAAAGACAGTAGAGAAAATCATTCACGAATACTACTCAGATCTCTTCGTTAGCTACGTCCACCTTTCGCCATGTGGAGTAAAGGACGACAGATATTTTGTCCCACCGATTCTCCCTTCCGAAATTCGACATGCCGTTTCGTGTGAAACGTGTGACATGTGAAAAATCAAACAGCACCAGTTCCAGACAGGATAAGACCAGAACACCTGAAGAACGTTCCGCCAGTCTTCGTAAACACACCGGCTCGGCTCTGCACACGTTACCTGTCTGAATGCAAGGTCCCCACTCAGTGGAAGACGAGCAAGACCGTGTTATTGTTCAAGAAGGGCGATCTGCACGATATTGGCAACTATCGCCCATTCTGCTTGCTGTTTTTCGCCTACAAACTTTCACTCGAGTCATCCTGAACAAGACTGACAGAACACTGGGCGAAGGACAGAGATGTGAGCAAGCAGGGTTTCGAAGAGGATTTAGTGCGATAGACCATATCCACACGATAACAAGACTCATTGAAGTATCGCGAGAGTACAAAAGACCGCTCTGTATCACTTTCATCGATTTACAGAAAGCCTTTAATTCAACTGAGATAGAAGCAGTCATCGAAGCCCTTGATAGTCAAGGAGTGCCTACTCAGTGAATGAAGATTTTCGTGAGCTGTACGAAAATTTCTCAACAAAGGTTTCAGCATTCTATAACGATATTAACATTAACGTCAAAAGAGGAGTTAGGCATGGCGATACCATTTCGCCGAAATTATTTATCGTCACTCTCCAGAACGTCATGCGAACATTGGAATGGGATAACATCGGAGTTGAAATCGATGGTCGGCAAATACACCATCTTTGCTTTGCTAATGACATGGTCCTTATAACACCAAACATTAGTCAAGCGGAACGTATGCTTTACGACTTTGATAAAGTCTGTGGAAAGGTTTTTCTTCGACTAAATCTCACAAAAACGATGTTCATGAGGAATGGATTGGTTTCGTATGCCCCATTCACACTCAACGGAACGAATATCTCCGAATGCTCCGGATATGTCTATCTAAATCGGGAAATCAATATGATGAATGATTTATCGCCAGAGCTGAGCAGAAGGAAACGAGTGGCTTGGGGAGCTTTCGAGAGCATCGAGTATGTAGTGAAGAGAACAAAGAACACCCGACTCCGTGCCCACCTTTTCGACTGAACGGTACCTCCTGCCCTAACGTATGCGCCAGAAACCTGGTCGCTGCGTAAGCAGGATCAAATGTCACTCAGCGTTATCGATCGCGCATTTTTGATAGTTGACGCAGGTCGGAGCTTCGGATCCTGTCGAAAGGACGATGCTAGTAGTATCCCGTTTCACACAACTAAGAGAAGGCATCCGAAGCTCTGACCTGCGTAAACGATCAAAAATCAAAGATGCCGTTCTGTACGCCAAACAGAAGGTAAGGTGGGCCGGGCACGTAATGCATATGAATGACAACCGATGGGCAAGAGCCGTTAGTGACCGGATTCCTCGGGATACCAAACCTACTGCAGGAAGACCACATACCCGATGGCCAGAGCTTTTCACGAAGAGCCTAGAGGAAAGGTATGATACTCGACGATTCTCGAAAGCGAGCAGAACCCACTGGGCTACTCTTGCATGCGACAGGGAAAAGTAGAAGATTTACTGGTTCCGGATCAAGTCACTCGACCATCAACGGGACTACAGGTGACAGGTGAATATGTTAGGGAAAACCCAACAACGAGTCACTTGAGTTGTAGCTGAGTCTAGAGGATGAGTTTTCAAATCGGATAAATTAACTCAATTTGAAAACAATAATTATCTCTCCGACCTGTAATAAACCTCGATAGTAATAACCAATACCTCCTTGGATTATTGAGCTTGCACGACGCTGTTGTAAAACTTTTACTCGGCTAATGTTTCGGCGTTCTCATCTTCGTCGGAGCCAATGATTCGAGTCCATGTTCTACAGTTGTTCATCTTCTCGATGTGGTATCTTCATCGTTGTCTTGAGTCGAATCTTTTTCAGCAGATCACCACTCAAATAAGGCATTCTCACGCCGTATCGCGCTTCTATACATGAGGACTGTTGCTGAGAAAGACTATTCGTTGACAGTAATTTGGCTTTCTACGTATAATTTATTCTGTAGCAGTCGGAATTATGTCAGCTTGAACAGCGGTTCTAACTTTTGTGTAAAGGTGGGAATATTCGTCCGTGCACGTCTAGGTGAATTTGGTTGCTTTCGGAGTACATCGCAGCCACTGGGTTAAGAAAAGCCTGCAATCACATTGGTACGAGTTTTATGTACGAGGCGATTCCAATAAACGACATTCAAGCGGTAGAAGCCACACCTGATCGTATGCAATCTCCTTCAGTAAACTTCGAAGAAATATACGACCGCCTCCATCTGACGACAAGAATCTCTTCATGGTATCGTGATCAAACTTCCTTGTCTTCAAGAAACATTAAACTATTGCAGATGCTGAAATAAATTTTATTTCTGAAAATTTCATTCTAAGGAGTGTTTTGGTGCAAAGCTGTAAAATGACGTACCCTAGCGACTGGCATAATGTTACTGGTGTGACCATATGCCATAAGCGATTAAGTATGAGGCTTGATGCCGATAAATTTATACTGAAATGGGACGAGCCACAAGTTCTTCATTAAATGAGCAACGTAACTAATTATGGAGCAACAGACTCATTCATCGGTTTATGAACCATAAATAGGACACCCTATATGAATAAGATAAATCATTTTATTAATAAACAGTAGATTCTAATTATTTTAGGATTTTTTGTACAATGGGTTGAATGTAGCGTTGTGTTATCGGTTGGCTATGCCATTAATGTCATTCGTGGATTTCCGCCATTTCAGTGGATTGCTGCCATTGGTGGTGTTCTGTATGCCACTGGTTTGTGAATTTAAGTTTTTCATCAAGAAGTTGCAGTAAGCTTAGGAAATACCAAGCCACAGAAGTTCGTCTATTTATGGGCACTGTTTAGAAAATTTTTTTCATGTATGACGAAAATCGGTTTCCCTCAACGCAAATATTATGCTGCTAGGTTTTTCATTTATTGCCTATTACAGTTCTTCACGATAGGGCACCAAATGTGATACAACCACAATGTTGCTAAGATATTAGCAAAACTCCGAACAGCAGGGGTCTGCTGTGGGGAACGAACACTTTATTACCCTTTCCGGGGCTAACGCGTTCAACAACACACCATGCGGGTCTTTTGTTTCGCTCTTTTCTCAGCTCGTTTTCCATCTGGCAGTGCCAGTGCAAATATTATAAGTTCTGCATAATTATGACGCGAATGTGATTCATGCTTAATGGAGTCGAATATTCAAAACTATACAATAAAGAAGTTCGAGAGCCTGAGCCTACATGGAAAAAGTTATAAGAACTGAAGATATCATCAAGAAGAACTTTTTCATTGGTGGATAATTTCAGGCAATATTTTTGTTGTACCAGTGGTGAATGGTTTCGGTATGGGAGTTGCATTTCTTATATGGGGATCGATGCAGGTAGTTGTTCTGTAGAGGAAAGTGTCTTAGTAATCATTACGAAACTGTAGTCAAGAGGTGTTCTATTTAGAAAATGTACATATTAAGCTAACAGAAGAAACAGCTTACGAAGTAAAGGCATAAATGCTTCATTTTATATTCTACGTTTCTACATCTCACACGGCGAAGTAAAAAGTTTGAGTACGGAAAAATAAATGATATAGTTAGAAGAGCTATATTAGAATATGGAAATACTACAAAGCTCACACAGATAACCGTTAGCTGGTCGGTGTCACGTTTTGGATTGTTTGGATTCTTAGCTCCGACAGAGGTAAAGAATGACGTAATGAACTATGCAGGAGTGGTTTTCACACTAATCAGGTAAAAAGATTAGTGCTCATTGAACTGGAAGCTTCCGCTTTCTAAACCTTAGCGTTTATTGTGTTTTGTGAAAAAAAAATACTTATTTATTTGGATACTTTGATGGCCGGTTTTCACTGATTGTGAGGACCACAGAACAATTTCAATGGTATAACCATTGTGGTTATCTGGAATCCCGAGGTCGGGCTAGCCAAACTCTACCTCAGGTCGTCATCCTCACAGGTAGTCGCCGCCTTTGTGGATCAGAGGGAGGTTTGCCACCATGACGCTGGTTTGATAAGAGGACGGTGGTGGGTCTTAGCATTTACCAATACCAAGAATAGCAGAGTACCAGGATCCAAAAAAGTAGGAAAGGAAAAGTCAATTAGTTCTCGATATTCTTGTTGAGCAAACGCGAGGTGTTACTGTATTCCTTATTCCGTTAAAGATGACGTTTCGGCAGTATCACCTTCTTCAGACCCGTTTATTACATGCCTTCCACTGAGGAAGAACAGTTGATCGGAAAAAGAAAAACCCAAGTGAAAAAATTCAAACAAAATAAGATTGTTGAATATTATGTAAGACAGATTGAAAAAAATAGCAATGATGGGTATCTCAGCTTTTTTTAGTGGAGTTCTCTTTATATTCGTCAAACATACGAAAGAGAAATCGACGAAGAGCCTCAACGACGTGAGCTACACTGGAGATTCACTCACGGAAAGCACAGCTGATTCAAATGGTTCTGAACCGGCAACAGAGGAAGGAGAGTTTCTTCAAAAACTGCCGTAGGTTACTAGTCCAATTTCGTTCAATCGTTGTATTAAACTGCATGGCCTATTTTCCTTTTTCCTTACAATTTTCTTGATAAATTATCTGGATTCACCACGACAGACTATACTTCACCATGATTGAATCTTCTCCAACCTATTCTTGCTTCTTCGCTTCACTTACATTTCCTTCGTAATTATTCTCACACGATGTGATAATAGTTCCATTATTTTGGCAAGAGTAATCATTTTTCGTTCTTCTATCTGCTTGTGCAAGATGTGTAGCGCGGTGGTTAGTACTGCGTTGAAAAGCACACTGGATAGATCTCTTGTTCTATTCCACGCACTTAATTCATCAACCATCCATCTGTCAAGGGCAGGAAAATTAGTACCAGACTTGATTGGCAGAATAAAAAATATTGAGCTGGCACATTGGTAAGCCACTGCAAGCCGTTTTATAGACCAAACACGCATTCAATCATCTCCACGACACTTAATGAAGTCGAGTGTATGGTCCATCCATTAAGGATTCATAAATGCCTCTTTTCCCATATATATATATATATATACTTTATATATAGATACATATTTCAAAATGCTTATTACAGCGACAGTAAGGGTAACTGCTTTAAGTTGTTTCTTACTCTATGGGACAGGACCATCGATAGAAATGGTGCGGAGAAGAAAAGGAAACAAGCAAAAACGTGGAAGAGGAAGAGAAAGCAACATAATGCTATAGAAAACGAATACAGGAATAGAACTATGAGTAAACTGAGGGCAAAAGGATCTTCAAAGTGAAATGCAGGAAGTTACCATAGCTGTACCTATTCGTATTTTTTGAATGGGGAGCACTATTAAGTCTCTCTGTTACGGACAAAGGTTTCAGTGATTCCAGGAGCAAGAGAAAGTTCCCAGAAGTATTTCTCCCATATTCATTTCTACCTGTTTACCGTGCTGTGTTTTCAAAAGTTCCAGAACTAAATAAAGACACAATTCGGATAAAGTTGTTGGATTCTTAATAAGAATTCGTGTTTTTTCTATTTAGATATGTGTTCATGACAATGTTGCTTGCCACTCTTCACGGATTGATGATGACACCAATCGGAGTACTCAAGCAGAACAATCCATCGACGGACCACAATCAAGGTCAACCTTTAACAAACTGCATCTTGAAGCTCGTTTTTCTAGCTCTACTAAGAGAAGTTATTTTGTTAAAGCTAATAGCTTTGAAGAAACAAAATGCAGAGTGGTAATGCTTGTGAAAAAAAACTCAATCTATTTTATGAGAAACCAGAAATGCTGTGAAAGGCATAAGTAAAACATCTCGCTACCGGGTCATAGGAGAAATGCGAAGACGAAGGAACGAAGGAATGAAAATATTTATGAAAATGAATGGACGATTTCAGTGGTGATGTGTTATGGAACTAATGTATTAGCAGGTGTCTCTCTCTAGCTCTCTCTGTTTCTTTCGCCATCTTTCTCTATCGTCGTCTCTCCATTTCTCTCTCTACCCTTCGCATTCTTACGCTATCTACGCGATCTCTGCTCCTCCTTTCTTTCCTTTTCTCTAAAGTTGGCCTCAAAGTGATTTCATGATATAAAGTGATGTTTGACGAAGCATTCGGTCAGTAACTCAACAGAAGCATGAAAAGTGATTTTCTTCGTATTTTTGTTGAGCAAACTCGAGGTGCTATTTTATTTCTTTATTTACGCACAAGCTGACGTTTCGGCGGATTTCGCCTTCCTCAGAGCCTGGAAGGGTCAAGTTGACAGCAATCCACTCGGCCAAACACCTCCATAACCAAACAGAGAAAACGCTAAACCACGGTTTCAATCACATTTAGCATATCTCTGCACACTCACCGCTTTCTATGAGTCTACCACTGAGTATGTCGCGTGAAGACCGACCGCACAGAACTCACATGGAAGCGTAATGTGCCCCTCCTATCAGAATAACAGGTTTATATACTGTCCAATATCACGCGTGATAACGAGGCATTCCTCCCTGCGGTTCATTTTCGGATTCTTGGAACTTATCCAGAATGCCTCTAGAGTTTTGCGCGAGGATCGTAACCCTTACTTCAAAATCTTCTCCGTTATGTTTCTGTGTGCTATGCGTACCTAGTAGAGTACTTACGTTTGCCGACTAGGTGTTCTTTTATACGTACGCAGAGTGGTCTACCCGTTTCGCCAACTTATTCGTCCCCGCACGCTTTACAAGAGATCAGATAGACTGTACCTGAACTCACGCAGTCACCGTCTCTACCATTGGGGCAAATTATGCAATTTTGCGTTGCACATAGACGGTCGTATAGGCGGTTACGAACTAGCTGGCGCCTTAGATTATTCGGTGGTATTTCGATTATCGTTACCGAATTGTCTAGACTGGCCCTTCTTAAATAGCGTTTTATAGCTGCACTTACTTAATTTGAAATGAAGGGCAGTATAAACGAGACCTTGTCGTTGCTAGAGTTATCGTTGGGGTACCTGTGGTTTCCTCTACACCTATCTGGAGTTACGGTTTCGTAGCCATTAAAAATGGCTATTTGCCGCGCCAAGTTCCGGGACTCCTCTCTCTGTTGTCACCCTGTGCACACGCTGGTAGCTGTTCGATACATGTTTCTCACAAGCGCCCTTTTCGTGTGAGAGGGATGAGAGGAGAGGTAATGAACCAAGATATTTTTACTACTTGGCTTTCGATACCACTTCGTAATGTAGCCGTTATCTGATAGGCTAATTTGCACGTTCAGAAATGGAAGCCAGTCTTTTTTTAGTTTCTCTCGGGTGAATTTAATATACTCTGATTGTGTGTTCAACAACTCTAAACATCTGTCGATTTCTTCTTGCGTTGAACAAATGACCAAGCAGTCATCTATATATCTACAGTAGAGTAACGGACCGAGGTCGATTACTGGCGCTTCCACCTTAGAAATGAATGCAATGGCAAGGCTTGGAGCCAGTCGTTGTCCCATTGCCAGCCCCCTCATTTGTGCGTAATACCTCCCGGACCATCTGAAGATTGAGCAGCTTAAGCATTCTTTTAAGAGTGCCATCAGGTGCTCTATCCTGAAGCCATACATGTTTATTTCTCCTTCGTGTTGTGTAAGGAGTTCGAATATGGCTTTCATANGCTTGGAGCCAGTCGTTGTCCCATTGCCAGCCCCCTCATTTGTGCGTAATACCTCCCGGACCATCTGAAGATTGAGCAGCTTAAGCATTCCTTTAAGAGTGCCATCAGGTGCTCTATCCTGAAGCCATACATGTTTATTTCTCCTTCGTGTTGTGTAAGGAGTTCGAATATGGCTTGCATAGCGGAGTCATTCGACACGTTCGTATAGAGGGCAGTGACGTCGAAGGACTCCACCACGTACGCGCTGTTGGGTCGCGCGTTACGTAGACGATCCAGGAACATTTGGGTGTTCGTTAGATGAGCTGGAATGTACTTCAACAACTGAGTAAGTATTAGGGTTATTAACCACGTTATTCTATCTGTTGGCCCGTCCACGCAGCTAATGATAGGTCTAACCTTAAATAATATTATTAATTATTATATATTAATAATATTATAATATTAATAATTAATATTATTAATAATATTATTGCATTATTATTATTACATTATTATTATTACTTGTTATCACCGGACATTATCATTAATCCACCATCAGCATCGTGTATAAAAGGGCATCACCGAGTAAGGATGCCTCATTCGAGGAGATGGCTCACTGAAGAAGACCTGACTCGACACGAAGGTGAAGCTGCCACGTCGAGACGAATAACAAGCGAGGACCATCGACTCAGATCATCGGCTCTGAGGAAGACGAAGACGTCGAAACGTTAGCCGAAAATAAACATCATTTTCAACCTCGTGTAAGCTTATCAAAGAAAGAATACATATAGAAGCATGACAATTTAGCTTGGAAAACTCAAGAAAGTAGCGAGAGCGTTTAGTGAATAAAATGTCGCCGAAGCCGTCCTAGTCGTCGATCAGCGGATTTCTCTTAGAGTCTAATATTTTGGCCTATTATTCGTAAACATCAAATACAACTTCAAAATTTTAACAGAGTATTTTCTCACAAGCATAAGATGTTTTGAAACGTCACATTTGCTTATATTCCCAAAGTGATTCATTCATAACCTACCAGTTCAGTGTTCGATTATATGTGGTCATTCTATTCCACCATATTCGTTGCATCAACAATTTACTTCGTCTTCTACTGTATAATTCGACGTGAGAAGGCCTATGTGCACAGGGAGCTCGTTGTCCCTTCAGTTGGATACGGTTTCATGTGGACATCTGGGATGACATTATGGCTTGTATCTGGGCATATGTTGTCACAAGTGGTCGCTTATCCGGTCATTACTCGAGTGAGCGTTCTGTTTTGAAGTAGCCGTAGAATTTTATGAAGTTCCTTCTGAAGTAAAAGCAGATTTTCAGCTTCCCGGTATTGTCAGTGCGCTACTAGATGTTTTTGTCTACAAGGCAATTACGGTTAGTTTCCTAAGATGCTGTACGTTAAGAAAGCGCATTCTGCTCCTGCATAAAACCTTCTTTCGCGAAGAATGTTTCGCTCTGTTAAATGCTCTCCCAGTTTGGTTACCAAGTAGATTCGTGTGGGCGCCGACAAGTCATCCATTTGTGTCGGTAACATACCACTTACCAAGTAAAATCCACTAACTCGAAAGGCGTTATGAGCGTCTTTCGTTTCGAATTTTCTTCAGATGTTTTACTGTTGGCATATTATTAATGTAACTTTGAAATTCTGTCAAAACAAATCACTAATTATTAATCTCTCCAGCAGTCATTCAAAAATGGAACGCCATCCACCAAGATGTTGTTTTTCTGAGTCAAATAAGCATAACTGAAACTCCCAAAGTTCTTATGCTTAGGCGAGCATGACACGCCAAAGAATTCGTTTCACATGAACATATTGTTTTCTTGCGATTGAACTGAAAAGCAAATTTTCCAAAAACGCTTTCGCAAGCGGCAATGTCCGTCTAAGGCTGAAGTGAAGGTGATGTAGCTGTGAGCCATTGACTTTTACTCCAAGCCATTCTTATCCTTTAGACTTTCGTATACCTGCGTTCTGGAAAGTGGAAATGGAGTAAGATTAAATTTGAAATGATGATATCGATATAACAAATCTTCTCTTTGTCTTCATGATGATGTCGTTATAGAATGACAAAATTCCAGTACTATACTTATTTTGTCCATTAAGAATCTTTCTTTAACGAGCTGAGTGGTTTTCGTTCCATCTCTTCTCTTCTCTCTTCTCTGCACTCTTACTTCGCAACAATTCCATTTAGGAGTTTCCATCTCACTCACCTTATTTCTGAAGGTGAATATACTCACGAGTATGCTCATTGGGGTTTCGATGCACACGGTGAATGTTCTTCTTGGAGAATGTTCTAACATTTGCCAGATGTTTGATAGCATAACTTTGTCGAGTCGAGATACAGGGCAAAACAAAAGCACATATAGACAAGCATAACAGAGTGCGCATGCATTAATATGCCTTGGCATTTGTGAAAAATACAAGAGACGACAATGAGACAAAGGAGGAGCTCATTTCCTAGACTACTTGCATTTTATACAAGCATCCAATCGCTCCTGATCCAGATTCCAAATCTCAATCTTCTATCAAACCATCATTGTAGAAAAAGCTCTTAGCTTTTTACCTCCATTGTGGCACATGTCCCAATGGCCTACCACCTCATCGTGGCTAGGAGGTGTTCCTGGGTGTTGGGCTGCGATGTACAGCGGAGGGATTCATCTTCCAGCAAGGCTTTTCAAACTGATGAGTCAGGCGTTGATATTAGGAAGCCCAGCTAAGAGTAAACCAATACCATGACCCACCCCCATCCTGCTATCAAATTAATTGCATGATAGTAAATCCCCCTCTGTTCCACAAGGCCGCGACAGTCTGGAGCGCTGACGACGTGACGAAGGCCTCGGCTAAGTAAACCTCGGGCCATCCAGAGAACCGCAATGATTAAGCGAGCAAATGTCTTGTCAAGTGCAAATTATGCTGGGGCCCGCGCAGCCAATGACGACGGGCTACCGAATTATCCAAGTTTCCAAATATGGCACTCTTAAAGGTGTTTAGACGTTCGAAACAACACTGGAAAAATTTACATCCCCACCTTTTGCGATCAGTGCGGTCGAAATTTTTTAAATAGGGGGAGTCCGCAGCGTAACGTTCCATGTGCTTATGAAGAAAAGAGCGAATTATTTTTCACGGTGTCCTAAATTTGCATCGACTTTCTTATGATAGGATACCGAATCTTTTTTCCTAGGCCTCATTTCACTTGCTGAATGTTGTTCCTTTTTTACATTTCATTTTCTGCATCTTCTTTCACTAAAAAGGAAAGTGTAGAATGTCGCCTAATAACGTTCATCTTAAAAGAGGTAGAGTTTTACCTTAACCACTGCGGTAACCGCCCGCCTCCCATGAACAAACAAATGAAGAAATATCCCAAGTTTATTAATCTGTGCCTGGATTTATGCAGTTATAGCAATTACTTTCCTCACCTATAACACTTATAACCAGGGACGACGCAATCTGATTTTCTTGGCATCGGCGGTCAGCGTCGGCATTAGTGGAGTAATTCTAATTGCGCTCTCGAATCACTGATCGTTTCGGCTTTTTCGGTTTCACTTTTAATAGAGCTACCATAATCTTTTCGATGCCGCAGCGAGTAGTACCAGTTCCACAAAAAACATTTCGAACTTTCAATGGAATGTTGATTTTGTTGGATTTGTTTCCCTCCCCCATATCATATACTTCCTGGATATTTTGCAGTATAGCCCATTATTTTCGTTTCCTATTTCCTATACAGTAAGCCAGATCGTTTTCGTTTCATGAGTCGGAAATGTAAAAGTTAAATCCATAATCTTAAATGTGCAAAAAATTTTATATACCACGTTTGAATAAACTGTATACACTTTTTCTTACCATATCTACTGATATTTGCTAGCACGTTACTTAACTAACGCACAGAATTCGTGAAGTGAAACAAAATTTGCTAGTGACGTCTTACGGCTACGAAGTGAGACCAGTAAAAAAACCTGGTTCATAAAGACACATATAGTTTGAAGACATTACACTGTGAAACTCACACTTAACCACAGCAATTCAATAAAAGTATTCTACGCACTTAATGATGCTGAGATATTTGCAAAACTCCGAAACATAGGCGTCTGCGGTAGGGTGCGAACGAGCTATTACCCTTGCCGGGGGCTAACGTGTTCACCACAACACCATGCGTGTCTTTTGTTTCGCCTCTCTCTCAGCTAGTTCTTCTATCTACCAGGTCATCAGCAATTCTATCTGCGGTCCGAAGTTTTGCAAATATCTCAGCGTCATTATGGTTGTATTTCCCATTATACCCTGCCTGAAAAGTTATATTAGGCAGCAAATAGGAAAGTTACCATTGTGATTTCTACTCACCTAGTTTATTTATGGACAATGACACAGCATAAATAAAGGACGTGTGTGTCGGGGTGGTTAGAGGTGCCTTGCGAAATGCGTTGGTTTCCATGTTTCGATCCGACACCTCATGGACTTCAAGACCTCCATCTTTTCCAGATATACGGATTGATATTTGAATTCTATCGATCTTTTTGCCATCAGCAATCACCTGTCAATGGAATTGATCTGGGAAGCCCAAATCGCCATTGAACCCAGTTAAGCTGAGGCTTAGTTATAATCACCACATAAAACTAGCTGAGAGACGGGCAAAACGAAGGACCCGGATGGTGTGGTGGTGAAGTGCGCTGCTCCCCAGTAAGGACAACACCGCACGTTCGTTCTCCACCGCATACAACTGCAGTCCGGAGTTTTGCAAATACCTCAGCATTATATACGAGTTACATTTCGCAACATGCCCTGCCATTAAAAATAAAAAAGCAGTAAATAAAAGGGTTAAGATTTATCAGTAGTGCTAAATAAGAAGAAGACAGGGAAAAGATGTAAACAGAAGCAATAACCGATAAAATGTCGCGGAGAGAGATAGCAGAATGGAGAGAAGATGCACAGATTTATAACAAGTTCGTCGTGCACGTAGTCTTGACAGGAAGAATACTAAAACCGCCATTGCTCCGATCTTTTCGCTATCCATGCATACTTTATCGAAGTTCAACATGTTTTAATCTGTGAAAAACCGTGTAGGCTACAGGTCTGGTAGGATCCGAGCCATTCATTGGAATAAGCTACCGTCAGTCCTCATCGGCAAAATGGCTGTATTTCCCACACTGCAGATGTTAGAATACAGCAGCTAAAAATATTATTAAACCAGTAAAAAAGCGCTGTCATGTAACAATCTCAGGTAATTGGAAAGGTTAGGAAATGAGCCATATCCAGGCTTTCACGGAACTCACTGGAACATTTAAGCTTACAATAAACTGCTTTAGAGCATTTTCATAGACTCTTAAGTCTCGAATCGAGTGGTGTTCAAATGGACTGACTCAATAAATAAAAAACATGATAAACCTCTCGGCGTTGATCAGTTCCTCTGGGATGCGCCATGCATTCGATGCATTCGACTTCACTAAGCACCGTTTGGTGGTGGTTGAATGCATATCTGCTCTTCGCAATGAATCGCAGTGGCCTAGCGATGTTTCGAGCCAGTGCTATTATCGTCCAAGACAAGTCTGCTACCAATTTCACGACCCTGGAGGAATGGACGCTTGCTAAGCCAGGGACGCGAAAGTCGATTCAGTGTGCATTGCAGGGCGCCTCCGACCACTGCGCCACACGGGCTCACGCCCAGAAGGCAACATACTTGACATATGTCAAGTTGCAAAGGTTAGAGATGCAGCCATGTGAGCCATGATCTCGAAAAGCCGGTAAGTCGCGAAATACAATACGAACATTCTGTGGAAATAAACCGTTAACGTTTTTCTTCAATAAGCAGACACGAGGTTGTTAATATAGAATTTATTAGAANGGCAAAACGAAGGACCCGGATGGTGTGGTGGTGAAGTGCGCTGCTCCCCAGTAAGGACAACACCGCACGTTCGTTCTCCACCGCATACAACTGCAGTCCGGAGTTTTGCAAATACCTCAGCATTATATACGAGTTACATTTCGCAACATGCCCTGCCATTAAAAATAAAAAAGCAGTAAATAAAAGGGTTAAGATTTATCAGTAGTGCTAAATAAGAAGAAGACAGGTAAAAGATGTAAACAGAAGCAATAACCGATAAAATGTCGCGGAGAGAGATAGCAGAATGGAGAGAAGATGCACAGATTTATAACAAGTTCGTCGTGCACGTAGTCTTGACAGGAAGAATACTAAAACCGCCATTGCTCCAATCTTTTCGCTATCCATGCATACTTTATCGAAGTTCAACATGTTTTAATCTGTGAAAAACCGTGTAGGCTACAGGTTTGGTAGGATCCGAGCCATTCATTGGAATAAGCTACCGTCAGTCCTCATCGGCAAAATGGCTGTATTTCCCACACTGCAGGTGTTAGAATACAGCAGCTAAAAATATTATTAAACCAGTAAAAAAGCGCTGTCGTGTAACAATCTCAGGTAATTGGAAAGGTTAGGAAATGAGCCATATCCAGCCTTTCACGGAACTCACTGGAACATTTAGGCTTACAATAAACTGCTTTAGAGCATTTTCATAGACTCTTAAGTCTCGAATCGAGTGGTGTTCAAATGGACTGACTCAATAAATAAAAAACATGATAAACCTCTCGGCGTTGATCAGTTCCTCTGGGATGCGCCATGCATTCGATGCATTCGACTTCACTAAGCACCGTTTGGTGGTGGTTGAATGCATATCTGTTCTTCGCAATGAATCGCGGTGGCCTAGCGATGTTTCGAGCCAGTGCTATTATCGTCCAAGACAAGTCTGCTACCAATTTCACGACCCTAGAGGAATGGACGCTTGCTAAGCCAGGGACGCGAGAGTCGATCCAGTGTGCATTGCAGGGCGCCTCCGACCACTGCGCCACACGGGCTCACGCCCAGAAGGCAACATACTTGACATATGTCAAGTTGCAAAGGTTAGAGATGCAGCCATGTGAGCCATGATCTCGAAAAGCCGGTAAGTCACGAAATACAATACGAACATTCTGTGGAAATAAACCGTTAACGTTTTTCTTCAATAAGCAGACACGAGGTTGTTAATATAGAATTTATTAGAAAACAATTGCTAACGTTTCGGCGGTGCGGTTTCGCCTTCTTCAGAGCCTGGAAAGGTCAAATTGAGATGTGATCTACTCAGCCAAACACTTTCATAACCCCAGCAGATAAAATTTGACAAGTCGATTTGCATTCGCATAAGAAACAGCTTCTTCGTATTTTTGTTGAGCAAACGCGAGGTGTTATTATTCTTTGTTCACGAATAAGCTAACGTTTCGGCGGATTTCGCCTTCCTCAGAGCCTGGAAAGGTCAAGTTGACAGCAATCTACTCGGCCAGACGCCTCCATAACCAAACAAAGAAACTCCGAACCAAGATTTCAATCACCCTGAACACAGCTCTGCACACTCACCGCTTTCTATGAGGTTTCCACTAAGCTATAAAACGCTGCTTAAGAAGGGCGGGCTTAGAGAATTCGGTGAGGGTAGTTGAAATACCACCGAGTAATCTTAAGCGCCGGCTAGTTCGTAACCGCCTATATGACCGTCTATGTGCAACTCAAAAGTGCATAATTTGCCCCAGTGGTAGAGACGGTGATTGCATGAGCTCGGGTCCAGTCTATCTGATCTCTTGTAAGGCGTGCGGGGACGCATACGTTGGCGAAAGGAGTAGACCACTCTGCGTCCGCATTAAAGAGCATCTAGTCGGCAAATCTAAATTAAAACAAAACACTCCACTTGGCGCACATAGGATTCAAGAACAGAACGGAGAAGATGTCCTCAGTGTCCTCAGGCACAAATCGAAAACATCAGCGCGTAAAACGGTTGAAGCGTTTTGGATCAATCCCAAAAATTCAAAAATGAACCGCAAGGAGGAGTGTCTTGTCATCACGCGAGACCTGGCGCCACACCTCAGGCTAATCCAATGACCTGACATGGACACAGTTATCGACCATGTATTACTCTGTGCGGCGGCTATCCATCAACTAACTTAACTACAACAAATAAACGGTAGGTGTTTGAATGAAGCTGTTTCTTATGCGAATGCAAATCGAATTGTCAAGTTTTATCTGCTGAGGTTATGAAAGTGTTTGGCTGAGTAGATCGCATCTCAATTTGACCTTTCCAGGCTCTGAAGAAGGCGAAACCGCCGAAACGTCAGCAATTGTGTTCTAATAAATTCTATATTAACAACCTCGTGTCTGCTTATTGAAGAAAAACATTGAATTATCAATTAATGCCGAGGTTAACAGAAAGTCGGTCTTGGGAAACCGTTAACGACTCCACGTGTTTTATGATACCAAGTAAACAATGAAGATCAACTTGTTTTCTGAGTTCTCATAAAAATTCCAATGAAAAAATCGATGTTTTCGTGTCCCTAGAAGAAGCGAAACTCACTAAAATACTACTGTTTACGAAACGAAAAGTTGAAACTTCTTTCACGTTCGCTCCAGTCATTCTGTCACCTCATTACTAGACAACCAATGAGAACATGATTGACTTATAACGAAAGGCTCTATTTATGATTTTTTAACACGAATGTTATCAGGAGTTATTTTAGTCTGTCTCGTTAACTTAAAAACAAAACGCTATATGAAATGGGATATACGGTAAAAAGCCAAGAAAGTCAAACATGAAAGGGCTAACAATTAGAAAGGATGTAGCCCATTTGAAATGAGCTCGCCTTTCATCTAAATATAGGTTACTTCATAAACATAACATTAGAAAATAATTATGTAGTCAGTTTAGACTGATAATACACAGTCAGTAAAGATTTAAAGTCGGGATTTTAAAAGCATTCAACTCGGAGTTATTGCATTTGAAATATATGGAGCAAAAATTCTGCATGTTAAGTGCAATAAGAAAAAAGAAGCGAAAGCGCTTTCTTGGTCTAAAGGTCTAAAAGACTAACCGTTATTGATTTGTACACTACTACATCAAGTACAGCACTGATAATGGCGGGAAGCTGAAACTTTTTAACATAATAAATCAGTTGGTTCAACAAAATTTTCAAATACATACTCTGGTAACGATCGGATAGGCGATCACTTGCAATAGTACACCACTAGAAAGCATCCACATTGTCATTCCAGTCGTCCATAGCACACCGTACCCGACGGATGGTAGCACCAGGGCGCTATTCACATAGGCTTCCTTACGTCGGATCACGCAATACAAGAAGAAGTAGATTGTCGAAGCCACGAATACGGAGGAATAGAATGACCACACATAATCGAGCGCTGGAATCCGGAGTTATGATTAAACCTCACTGTGAATCTAAGACACTTCATATCTAACCTTACTGACACGTCATTTAAAGACTACACGTGGATTTTACACACTAGAAAATGGAAAAATTATGCATTTTCGAAGAGGAAATCGCTGAAAGATCACTAGAAATTTTCGATGGCATGTTACATTCGAAATAGTCCTGGCATTGCAGACGTCAGTAGATGTCTGCAGACCTTAACTAACATACTGTAGAACTAGTCAATGATGCACCTTCTGTTGAATCTGACTATTAGGATTTATTACTTAACCACCTATGAGAAAACAACCAGTTTCAAGCCGAAAATTTGCAGTTATTCTTCTACAACAGTTCAGGATAGCAAAAGTCTTTATGAAAAACACCAAATGATCGTCTGACATTGTTGTTGGGAAAACATGGGATTTAGGCCTTTGGTTTTGCTGTGCCCGCTGAGAGTACGCAAAAAAGGGTCAGGTCAGCCTCTAATGGAGTTCTGCATCGTCAACGCAGAAGAGTTACCATGATTTAGTTTTTCATCATAATTGATCGCATACTCTACAGTAGCTTACACGCATGAACCAAAAAATAATTGACTTCTAAAACTTCCCAAAAGCCTTTTATTTCCACCTTTGCCCTTAAAACACTTCGTAAGATAGACAAAAACTATTTCGATGACGATGATGCTGAGATACTTGCAAAACTAGGGATGACAGATGCCTGTGGTAGGGAACTAATGCGCTATTATCCTTCCCGCGGATTACGCGTTCACCATCTCACTATGATTTCGACCTGCTGCTTCAGTTTAACTGGGTTCAATGCCGGTTTATGTTCTTCAGATCAATCCCGTTGACGTGTTATTGCTGATGGCACTGGTAGATAGAAAACTAGCTGGGAGAAAGGCGAAACGAAGGACCGGCATGGTGTGGTGGTAATCGCGTTAGTCCCGGAAAAGGGTAATACCACGTTCGTTTCCCTCCGCAGACACCTGAGGTCCAGACTTTTGTATATATCTCGGCATCATTGTGGTTGACCTCGCATAATACCGTGCCTTGGAAATTGTACTAGGCAGTAAATAAAAAAAGTACTTCGACTGCCACTGTTTTTTCTGACGACAATCGAATTGATGTAGGCAAACGGCATCAATGGCACATACATTTGAGAAATTACATAAGCGCACTGAGGTACAGTTTTTGAGCATTTGCTCTCAACGTGCAATGCTTCTAATCAAAAATTTGCTTCGAATGTAAAAAAAATAGAAATAAAAAAGAGGAATAGGGAACGACTGAGGAAAATAGTGAGAGATTGCGACGGAGAGAAAAACAGAAAAACAGGAGAGAGAAAAAGGAGAAAGAAAGAAAAAAGACTAGTTTTATTAATTGCAAAAAACCTTATTCACTGATTAAGCTCTTCATTTACTAATTTTTCCACTCATTTTTTTTCCATCAATATTCCATTGGATTCATTATTTCACCGATATGTTCGTGTTAGCCTTTATTATAACCCTTACTTATGAAGTACTACTTTTTTACGTCATAACTACTTTACATTTTACGTCTACCGCATTGAAGCAAATATTTTCCAGTGCATTTTAAGAGAAAACTTTCAAGAACACAATTTTATAGTGATAATGATTTCAACCTTGATAAAGATCTTCTGAAGGATGGCGTTGTTTCAACTTTTCTATAGGTGTCATCATCAAACCATGGAGTGTGGCAAGTCCCATTGTCATTAGAAGGTATCTAGGTTCACATAACATAATATTAAATAGTAACGCCAAATTCGGTTATTATACATAAGCTGCTATAAGATATACCTAAATTTTTTACGAAGAACTTCGCCCATCATCGCAATTCCAACCAACTGTGGTTTTTTCCTGCACTGATTTCTCTTCTCTGTTGTTTCAGAAGTGTTCGAATCACTTGTCGTGTTGAGGACAACGTGTTCACCTCGACATTCAGCCTTGATAGTCAATTCTTGTGCAGTTTCATCGACATCAGTACCATCCGCTAGCGATCTTTCATTCGCTTGTTTGACGAATATGAAGAGAACACCGCTAGGAAACCGGATTATTCCGTTTTAATAGGTCGATAAATAAGTAATACGTTTCAATACGCTTAATATAAAAAACCTCATAGATGGCCCTATAATATAAAATTTTAGTGCAACATTATTATAAACGCTTCCATCACTTTTATCCACTCCCTATTTTTTTCATGAAGGGAAAAAGAATAAAAGGATAAATCTCTCGGCGTTGATCAATCCCTGAGGAATGCGCCTTGCATTCGACGACTTTATTATGGATCGTTTATAGGTTATTAAATGTATATCTGACCTTTACAATAACTGGCGGTGGCTTTCCGATATATCAATTTACCTCCTAAAGAAGTCTTCTACCAATCTGCCGACCACGGAGGTATGGAAAGTTTGGTGGGCCATAGACGCGTGGATCGATTCCACGTGCGTGTTGCAGGGCGCCTCCGACCACTGCGCCACATTCTCCCATCTATGGCGGCGTAGTATTTGAAATACAGCTACAGTGATGCTGAGATATTTACAGAACTTAGTCTTCAGACCAAATAGAACCGCTATTGCCCTTATCGGCGGCTTGCGTGAAAAGCACGGCACCACTGAAATTCTCGTTGTCTTTTTCTCATCATGTATTCTTTGCCCAAACTGTGCTCTTCAGCTTAACTGGAACTAATGTCGATTTGTGTTTCCTAGGTCATTCCCGTTGACGTGTGATTGCTAATGACATCATTAGAGTAAAAAGACCGGTTGAAGAAAAGGCAGAACGAGGTGCTTCAGTGGTGCCCTGCGTAGCACGTGAACCCTCGGAAAGGCAAATCGTGGTTCGATCTGGCCTCTGGTCCAAGTTTTGGAAATATATCAGCATCATCATGGTTGTATAAGCGCGTAGCTTAACAAACTCTATGGTGATTAGCGTCTATAGCGCGCGACTACAAATAAAGGTCTGTAATCTCTTCACCTAATTAGAGTGACGATCACTCCTATGTAGTTCAGAACGCTGTGCTTCACCTCAGTTGGCTCCAACAAACCATACAGTCCAAAACGTGATACTGACCAGCCAACGATGATCTGTATTGACGATTATGGTAATTTTAAAGGTTTATTACAGTTTCTACGGCAGCTGCAGCTATTTTTTACCCCGTTACTCTTCACTTGCCGAACATCTACTGATTGCATGTATGGAACATCTTATGAAGCTGTAGCAATGCAAGACAAAGGCTTTTTTAAAAGATGACTTGCCTGCAAGGATCCCCATATAAGAAAAGCAATGCCCATACCGAGGCCATTCACCGCTGGCACCGAAAAAACGTTGCCTGGAATTCAAATATTAGAACTATACAAATTTGTGAAAGCTCTTCTAATTTACAATAAGCAGATTTCTATAAAATGAGCGCCTCAAAAGCAAGTTGATTTTTGCTCATGCAGCTCAATGGATTGTGACCTGATTGAAACAGAACACGAGGTTGTCATTATAGAATTTATTAAGATACAAGAGCTGACGTTTCGGCGGTTTCGCCTTCTTCAGAGCCTGGAAAGGTCAAATTGAGATGCGATCTACCCAGCCAAACACTTTCATAACCCCACCAGATAAAACTTAACAAAAAAAATTTGTATTCACATAAGAAACATCTTCATTTAAACATCAATGCCGAGGTTAAAAGGAAGGCGGTCGTGGGAATTGAAACAGAACAGTTATCAAATCAGTTCAGCGCCCAACCTTCAAAGCAGCATAGGCGAAATCAAGTGCTACTTTTTGAACGAAAGTCTTGATCACTTACCTGTAGCATACAGTAAACCACTAATGGTGGCGATCCACTGAAACGGCGGAAATCCTCGAATGACGTTAATGAAAAACCCGACCAATGACACAACGCTACACTGGACCCATTGAACGAAAAATCCTAATACGATAAAGGATCACTGATTAATAATCAAATAGAAAAACCCATCTTTATCGTCATTTATCTTGTGCTGATATGCAGCCGTATTTATCATATTCCTATTCCATTAATAGATATGAAGGCTGCGAATGGGCATGTTGTCTCCAGTGTACTGTACCTTCAACAGCGGAACAGATGAAAGTTCATGACCTTTGATCTAACAACGAGAAATCTTACATCAAACTATATCGACTTGTCGTAAAGAACTGGGCTATCTGTTACAACATTACATATACTTTGTATCGTCGTATTTCATCAAATACCGTTAGTATTCGAGCACTTCGTTAAATCGGTTCATTGTGTTCTACGTTTTCCGTCTATTCAACAAGATTGATTTGGATGTGATCTAGTTAATTCACGAAAAGTTTTTTCCGAATTCCATTGGAATATTGGTAAAACTGATTTTTCCTGAAGTTCTGATGAGGCTCTACTAAAGAGTTCCCAGTTTTTCAACACAAGCACAAGTGCAACACATTACACGCATGTATTGCACAGCTTCCTCAACCACTTCAGTCTATGCTGTTGACTCACGACCCAAACTGTGTAGCGTGGAGGAATGGACTTACTGAGAAGCTCCCCGTTTCCAATCGGGAAGCCTGGTAAAGAGTAAACCTACACCACAGCAAAGTACGACCAGCCACCCATCACTAATTCGTAGCAAAAAAAATTGTTAAAATAGAGCGTATGGTGGCGTATCGCAGGAAAATCCTGTTCCCACTTGTAGTCCTTATGCAGATGGAGGCTATTCAGTGGCTTTTACGTGTGACAAAGACGAGTGGAGTATACTTATACCGCTCTAGTTAAGTGACGTTTAGAGAGATTAAAAATAAAGCAGGTGTTGTTAAAACCTCGTTATTTTACCAGCCTCTACATTTATACATATATGTATATAAATTTGTATTTGTATATATTTGTTTGGCACACTTTAGTGGTATAAATTTATAAGCTGTATCCTTGTTTGTGCATTTTGTTTCGCGAAAATTACTAATATCATCACATAACTGCTTTCTCCGGAGTGAGCTATGTAGCGCAGTGGTTAGTGAGGCTATCAATCAGGGAGCAAGGGGACTAGTTCGACTCTCACCCAACACTCTTCTCCAGTCCACGTGGAAACGCTTGAGGCAGGCTATCTGTAAGATTGCAAAGACAATCGACTCGACTAGCATTTAACGACTTTCTCAGGAAGAAGATGGAATCCTCAAGCAGCAGCCTAAACAAGTCCGAAATGTTTGAATACCACTGCGAACATAAAGGTGAAGAAGGCGAATCGAATGCAAGAAGTTCTGGTTCCGCACAATAGATGTGATGATGGTTTATGTACAGTAGAAAAAATAACTGATGATACCATATAATTCTTCCCTCTTTTCCTACATCATGGCACGGCAAACATCGTGGCTAGAGATGCTGCGCATGAGTAGTCGTTTTTCTAATCCCACCACTGAACAACATAGTCTTCTATCCTTCGGAGTTCGGAAAGTGTTACCAGACTTTCTTAAGAGAGCAGTCCTCCTATTCACAAAAGATCGCCACTGATGAACATCTGGAAACGCCTTAGACGACCTGCTTCCAACGATATTCGTAAAGATAGCCAAAATCCCCCAAGCGGGAGTTGAAGCCACACGCAAATCCATAGAGTTTCGTGGGCAACAGGTACAAACCAACGAACCGATTCAGTGAAGGGCTAGAGCAGGTGTAATATGTGCAGTTGGATCGAACAAAAAGCGAACAAGTAGGTAATTTTGTACCTATTCCTTTCTCGAAGTGTTGCTGATTAAAATAAACTCACCATCTTCGGTATCTTTTTGTCTAAGGGGCGTAAACATGGTGCCGAATGAAATGCATGATACTAACAAGCCTACGTATCCAACGACCAGAACGCCAGCAGACAACGGCTCATTGGTGATCGAGGAGGAGTTTGTGATTTCTTCCATCTGTAAGCTCTGACACGCAAGTAAAGAAATAAAAATAAAGGTTATTACTTTTGCGACAATATACAATGAATTTCTATTCGTTCATCTGTCTCGTAACAACTGATCGATGCTGAGAACTACTAAAAATAACTTAAAAATGATAACCTTGGACAATAAAGTAGAAAAGATTACCTCATAAGGCACTCTTATTCTCTATTCTGATAGGAATATGACAGCGAGAAAATCTTAATGAGAGTAACGAATTCCTATTCCAGATTTTAAATAAGATTAACGAGATTCTAACTAGGAAGAAATCGAGTTCTTATCTACTTATTGCCGGTTATATAATAAATGCAACAGACAATAGACAGGCGAAAAGAATTCTATAGTGGACTCCACGTAGATATAAACGTCCTCTGGGATCGTCACCTACACGATGGGCGGACGTGTTCGTAACTAAAGTTAATCACAATCTTAACCCTTTTATTTACTGCCTTTTTCTCTTTAATGGCAGAGTATGTTGCGAAATATAACTCGCATATAATGCTGAGATATTTGTAAAACTCCGGACCGCAGGTGTATGCGATGGGGAACGAACACGCTATTGTCCTTACCGGGGAGTAGCGCACTTCACCACCACACCATCCGGGCGTTCGTTTCCCACCGCATACACCTGCGGTCCGGAGTTTTGCAAATATCTCAGCATTATATAAAGTTAATCAGTTGTACTCGCAGCTGCAGATGTTTTACAGATCACGATATGATGATGGCACACATCATAGTCGAAGAAAACTGGACGGACAATGATCGCTAGGTAAGGAAACGAGAAGAAAATATGCTGAAGTCAGCACTACTAGTGAAGACGGCAGACGAACCATACAACTAGGTAACCACTATTTCAAAAACCAACCTTCCTTTAATCTCAGTATGACTAACCAACAAATGTATTCTTTCTTTGATGAGCTTACACGAGGTTGATAATGATGTTTATTTTCGGCTAACGTTTCGACGTCTTCGTCTTCCTCAGAGCCGATGATCTGAGTCGATGGCCCTCGTTTGTTATTGGTCTCGACGTGGCAGCTTCGCCTTCGTGTCGAGTCAGGTCTTCTTCAGTGAAGCATCTCCTCGAATGAGGCATCCTTACTCAGTGATCCCCTTTTATACAAGATGATGATGGTGGATATAATGGTAATGTCCGGTGATAAAAACTTGTTTTTCTTCCGGACATAATCATCGCGCGCATCGTGCAGAAGTCGGTGTTATTATCAGCTAGCACAAAGCGTAGTAATATTTCGAAACCGGCTTTCCTTGAACCTCGGTATCACTAATCAATGTGCATTCTCTCTTTGATGAGCTTACACGAGGTTGATAATGATGTTTAATGATAATGATAATGACGTTTTTTGTGACTCGACACGAAGGCGAAGCTGCCACGTCGAGACGAATAACAAGCGAGGACCATCGACTCGGATCATCGGTTCTGAGGAAGACGAAGACGTTGAAACGTTAGCGGAAAATAAACATCATTATCAACCTCGTGTAAGCTCATCAAAGAAAGAATGCACATTGATTAGTGATACCGAGGTTCGGTTTCGAAATATAATCAACATGTGTTTAAATTGTTGTGCTTACACGAGTTTGATTAATAAACTTTATTCGGATAACGCTTTGACAACTATCGCCTTCCTCAGAGCCGGTGATCCAAGTCAATGGTCCATGGTCGTTCGACTTGTTGATGTGATATCTTCGTCGTTGTACCGAGTCGGATCTTCGTCAGTGAAGCACTGCTCAACTGAGACAATCTCTCCTGGCGGTGGCCTTTTATAAAAAGCGATAGTTACTGCTATGAATGTCTGATGATAACAAGTTGCTTTTTTTCCGCCATAAACTCACCAAGCCTCCAATCCTCTCGAGGTTAGCAAATTGCTACCAGAGTAATCTCTGAGAGACAAAAATGTTGATCTGATGATACATCGGTAGTCTACCGTAAGTTATTGTGGTGAAGAGAACAACAGGTATGTATCTGCATGCTGATTTATGTTTTATGACTCCGATCTAGAAATTCGTCAAAAATTTAGTTACAAATTGTGCCAAATGGAAAACCTTCTTAAGATCTTAAGAGTTGCTAAAAGCAATTGTCGCCAACAGAGCAAAGAGACGTTTACAAGATGGTGGAATGGCTAATGAAGAATTGGCCGAGAGTCAATTACGTGTCACTAGCATGCTCTCTCCGGCAATTTCGAAATAATTCCTACAGAGGACACTCGTCACGAGATTCTTAATAATGGGTCCGCCTTATCAACACATTATCCCAATTGATCACTCGACCAGCTGCATGAATAGAAGCCATCCGGAAAAAATCCTTGCTGTAAAAAATAAAAATGTGAACATGAGATATAACAAGTACTTACATGTAGGTAGAGCGTGAATAATTCAGACAAACTCCGAACTAATCTATTTAGCGTTCACTAGTCTCTTAAAATGTAATTTTAGTGCGCTAGGTTAATCGGAGAGCCGCGACTGCTTTCGTAAGGAGCTAAATAATCACATCAGATCAATAAACGATATTAAACCTGACTTTGTTGCAATTTTTTATATTGTTGTTAGTCAAACGCGTGAAGCTATTTTATTTTTTATTTATGAGCAAACTAACACTTCGACGCATTTCGCCTCTCTCGGTGCCTAGAAAGGTCAAGTTCACCGCAGTCTTGCCAGCAAAACAACTCCATAACTATTACACTGCATAACCTAAAATTCTAAATTAGCGAACAATTCTGACATTTGCGCAGCTTCTAAGAGATAAAGGAATTACTGAGAAAGTCGTCCTATTGATTGTGGGGAACGAAAGACTCCGATTCCCATCGTTTTTCGCATACGGTTTCGAAATGGGGCTCATGAAAAAGAATGCAACAGGTAAAATAATGAATGAGCTCCCAGAGATGGCATGGTAGCTGACCAGAAAATTTCGAGAAGCCTTCATATTGACAGAACTCCTTGAAAGAAAAGAAGAAGCTGACGACATGTGACATTAGGTCATGAGAAATTGAACTAAAGCGAATAATCAGAGACGAAGGAAAAACTTTGGCGCAGACTCCTTCAAAAATGGAAGCGCAAGAATTTTAGTTCTTTTAATAACTCGAAAGTCCGACTTTCTACAAACCTCGGCATAGATAGTTGATATATTTATTTATATGATCGTATAAAATGATCTTCTTCAGCTGATGCGAGGTTGGTACAGGTCTTCGTTGTAGTTGTCGTTGTTGTTGATGTTGTTGGTCGATGTTCCACACGTAACATCGCGGCTCTGAGGAAGGCGAAGTCGGGGAAACGTCATCCAACGACCAACAACATCAAAAACAACGATAACGACAACGAAGATCTGTACCAACCTCGCGTCAGCTTAAGAAGATCAGTTTATAAGATCACATAAATAAATATATCCAAGTTATTTTCTTGAACCGGTTCTGACGAACACATTCACGACACGCGATGGAGACCGTTTCCTAATCCGCACGTATAATGCCATAACACTTATTGCCCACCACCCACCCTCGCCTTCGGTAGCATTTGAAAAGTAGTGAATACCGCTCAGAAAAATTATAATAGATGATTCACATTTGACCACAAGTAGGCAGTGGTTACACGGCATTTATCTTATTCCGTCATTTAAAATGTCTGTTGTGCAGAAAATCGTCAAATGCTGCACAAAGGTTATTCTTGTCACATTTTTAACATGGTCAATAAATGACGTGTTTTTGCTGCAAAACAGAATAGTCACAACCAACTTCGCATACAGAGAAGAACATAGAGGAAGAAAAACTTAACTCATGAACACAAGCGGATAAAATAAATTTTATGCGTCAACTTATCCATATCTATTACTTACTTGGTTGCTTGGATAGCCCATCTTCATTGGTTGTGTGGGTCTCGCCACAATTTTTTTTCGGAGTTTTGCTGATGACAAAAGGGACAAAAGGTGGGCGTCGTCAGCTGCACAAGTTCAGCGTGTCAAAGTATAAAAAATAAACCTCTCGTTGTTGATCAATTCCTGAGGAATGGGCCATGCATACGACTTCATTGCGCATCGTTGGAGGTGATTGAATGCATATCTGGCCTTTACAATGCGGATGGCCTACCGATGTATCGAATCAGTGTTGCTATCCTCCCAGATAAATATGGCACCAATTTTCCGACCCCGAAGGGATGGAGGGCTTGGTGGGACATGGGCGCGAGGATAGATTCCACGCGTGTGTCGCAGTGATGTCTCCACCACTGCGCCACATGCGCCCAGCATCTCACTGTCACGAGATCACTAAACTTGCATCTTACTGGTAAATGTGTTTAGCACTGTAAGTTGAGAAAAATGTAGAAAAGTACGAGAGCATAAAGCGAAGAGTGGCATGCATTGCAGCTACGACGAACCTCATACTTGGGTAAGTAAAGCCTTATATAAATATTGCACTAATACCAAAGCAACGATGTCAACAAACAAACGTGTGCTGGATGTAAAAAATAATGACACGAATATGCCAAAACAATTTTAAGCAAAAGGAGAAGACATACTAACAGGAAAAGAGCATCTACTGCAATAATTTGACACAAATGTGTGAAGGATAAATGCTGCTTCTCACATATACATGAAAGGCCATGGTTGGATAAGAGCAGCCAGGAAGCTAAGGAGATTCAGTTGACCGATCAACACCACTCATTACATAGCGAGCATGTGAGTGAGTTGAGTAGGAGTGGAAACGTTGACAGTTAAACGATCGATCACCTGTATCACCTGTAGTCCCGTTGATCGTCGAGTGACTCGAGCGGGCGACAGTAAATCTTTCATTTTTCCCTGTCGCGTGCAAGAGTAGCCCAGTGGGTTCTGCTAGCTCTGGAGACTCATCGAACATCATATCTTTCTTCTAGGGTTTTCGTGAATAACTCTGTCTATCGAGTCGGTGGTCTTCCTGCAGTGCGTTTAACATTCCGAAAAATCCAGTCACTAACGGCTCTTGTCCATCGGTTGTCAT